AATTAATTTTTAAAGCCATATAACGCTAGCTTTAAAAAAGTATTTAATTAATATAAAATCATTAGGTTTTGTAAATAAAATAAACAAGAACACAAACATCCTTTCTTACAAACACTACGTTACTCTTACGAAAGTTTTGTCACAAAACAACAAGTATTTATTTTATCTAGTTTGTGTTATGTTGGGGCGACAGAGGGCGCTTCCGATATATCACGAGGGCATTAATTGGCTCCCCAGTTTCCGCGACATTTGGCTAATGTCACGCCGCGCCCCGTCGTGGGGTCCGATGTAGGTACACGAGGTAGGGTGGGCCTAATTCTATAGCAACAAATACCTGTGTCAGAAATATTATTTCAAAATCTTCTTTGCTAAATTATTAAAAGATGGAAAATAAAGGCCGGCAACTCACTCTTGACTCTCGAGTGGCAGGTGTCCATGGGCGGGGGTAGTAAAAATTATAAAAAAAAATATCACGCTCTCATACTAAACAGGTTCGATAAAAATGCTTAAAAAGTACACTACTACTACACACTGATATACTAGTATATAGCCAATAGTAATGTAATGAACAGAATATTCTAAAAAAAATTACTGAACTTCGGATACTTGTTTCTGTTAGATGTTTCGTCCAGAATACTGTCTCAACATACAGTTTATATAACATAGTTAGGGCGGTATCCCTAGAGAAAACTTCTTGTAATGAAATGTCAAACAACATGGACACCTACTGGCTTGGATTACAGCTCATGGTTGTTAACATTTCGTAAATGGGGACTTGTCGAGTTGACAACGTTACAAATGTGAAATGAGAGAGGACAGTGGGGTTATGACATCAAGTAACCGAAGAATTAGACACAAGGGGGCCAATCATTAGCATATCTGTTTTGTTTCCTGGGAATTTGTACAATTTGCTTGAACGATTAAATTTATTTATCCCATTTAAATGATCCTATCTATGTACTTGATTATTTTATTTAAAAGACATTTTATTTAAGTCCAAAAACTATTACTATAAATAAATAAGGTACAATAAATAAATACCTTATCTGATTAAAAGTTACTTTACAAGTAAACTACATATATTCGTTTTCACCGTCACATCTACGGACCTTGCGGAGGACACAATAAGTAATAAAAAATAAGTATTATTAAGGAAAACAAAAAAAAATAAAAATGATATGAGAAAATAATAATAAAAATGGTTTTTCACCGAAGCGCGAAGTTATTAGATATTAGAATTATACAATTAGAAGTAAATATGAATCTAAATATACTTCTTTTTTGTTTTGTTGCCTTAGTACTCTGTTATTTATAGACCGATTTGAATCATTATTTTAAAGGATTTTAGGTATACTACCCGTTTGGTCTCATTTCTAAGTTTGAAAAAAAAAACCACCCTTAGCGGTGAAAATTAAGGAATGAAGAATACAGTTTATTGAAATCCATTACAATATAGGCGCATCAAAATCGGTTATCGGTCCTGACAGACATTCGGTATCACTTTTACCACCAAATGGAACATCGGATCTCTTGTTTGTCGCCTTACTCGTCACTTACCATCCACAAAGGCTCCAATTTGCATCAATTTATCTTCCTACCTTTCACGAAGTAAAGTTTTGTCTCGTGCCAATTGGCTAATGGCAATTTATGTCGGAGTACTCGTTCTACTAGGATCTATTCTCTGGAACCTTGTTTTGTTCCATATTAATGAAGTTTTGGTATGCATTATTGTCTACGCCAATGGCAGCACCGTCGTAAACAGATTTATGTCAAATCCCTCAAATACAGTTTTTTTTAAATTCATGACTGAGCGTCCGATAGACATAACGTTAATGTTGTCAATTTTAATTTCTGTTTTCAAATCACATGCGTGTCTATTTCTGGCAAAAAAGGGTACTTTCATTTACACCCACTGTGTATCTGTCGATTACTGACCCTCTACCGGTTCTTATCTGCACTATTACGCCTAAGCTTAACTTTTTCAGTAAATCAGTACTTATTTTGAAGATTCAGTGATAATGTGGCTCTGAAGACTACTACGCCTCTATAGAGACAAGTTCGTTCTTACGTGGCGTACTGCAGTCATCGTTGGCATTATTCAGCTAAAATAGGATTTACTAAAGTTCCTGACTTTGTTTGGCGAAGGATTCGTAAGCTTATAAATGACGACAAGCTCAACCAGCCAAACCAATACTCTGTCGAAAAGCCGCCTGATAAAAATACATAATTATATCCTTCTTTTTTAAAGCCACAAATCGGAAATCCCCTTGGATACCACCTATCGGTGGCATGTCGGACTCGAACCGACTAAAACCGCGCGCCGTCTCGGGTACTAATATCCGGGAACCTTTTATAACCTACTACCGGACATAGGCCTCTCCTTAGAAAGGAGGTTTTGGCCTTTTTTTTTTGCTGACGGGGTGGAAAATCCCTTCGTATCTCCGGCTCCTCGGGGACGTAGGAGCCAGAAGTATGTGGTGTTTCCACTAAAAACCACCCCGACGACCGGTCTCAGGCGCCCTACTCCATGACCCGGACCATGTTATTTCAGGTCCCCCCCGGATCGACGCCACGCCTAATGCCCTATCCCGCGGAAGACGCGGGCTTCCCCCCAACTATCGGCCCAATCATTACAGGCGGAGTCCCAGTCGGCTGCGCAGTGCTGCCATTGTGCCGTCTTCTCGCGTCCAATCCGATACAGGTATTCACTGAAGCAGCCCTGCCACACCTACCTGCTGCCTACTAAACCACATCGCAGTCCCCGACGAACACTATGGTAATCGCTATTACGATAGAATCGGGTTTATTAGATATTCGTTATCTACACACCCTATTACAATCATTGAATTTTTTTTATGATCGGGCGATGAATACTTTTGGATTTATCCATTCAATAATGATCTTTATATTTTTGTTCAACGTATAACATAAGTGAAAAATTTACACGATCAATAACGCAAAAACCTATTACCAAATCTCAAAAGTCAACATTTTAGAGTAAGCGGCTATTACCATATTGTTCGAGGGAACAATGGCAGAATCAGAATCAGAATTTATACATAGGTACCGAAATGGTTATAACACCTAAAAATGATCATCGAATAAGCATGTAATTTATGTTTACCGTAATATTAAAGTCAGTTTTATCATCGAATACGATTGCAATGTCATTTTACGAATATAAAGTATATTCATATTTACCAAGGAACAATATCATAATGAACGATTACTACAGCTACACCGATTTGTGATTACAGTCGAACACTATCGTAAAGTTAGTTTGCGTTAATTTTTTCCATAGCTTATTTCAGTAATGGACATTTTCACAATTTTCTTACTGATAAAGAAAATTTATGATAAAAATTTAGTAAAAATCTAGTGCAAAAAAATATTTCCTTATTTTTGATAAAAGAATTTTCTTTTTAGTCTTGATAGTATTCAAGATATTCAGTTTTTATTTGCTCCTGTAAAATTGTTATTTTCCTATTACGATTTTGTTCGTCGGGGACTGCGACATGTTTGTAAATACATACATATTATACATAGAAACACCCAGACAGACATTTCTGCGATACCTCAACAAAAAACAATACTCTATGAAGCGTCATAACAAATATTTGCCACAAGTTCTTGCGCTGACTTCTCACCACTATTACCCACCACTAATCAAACTCGTCGCCTTCCTAAAGTGAGCTTATTTTAAACTTAACTTGGCCAACTCCTAATTCTTTGAAGACATATATCATTATATTCTAAGCGTCAAACTAGACTTAGGGTTAAGAAATCAAACAAGAAAACTAGAAATAATTATTAGTCAACATTTTTATTAACTGATGCATATAAAGTATTAATATAACAAAATATAACTTCGAAAACAACGATTAATAACACTGAAACTATCTCTTTTCACAATGCACTTATTTAAATAATAATCTAAGCAACATTGAGCATAATTTAAACTTTGGATAAAATATTATTCCTTGATGTTTTTACTTGAACAAATAACTGACACAATAATTAATAAAATTGTCTTCTATTCACGTATCACAATTATTTACATCGTTATCACAGGTGACGTTATATACATAAAAACCACCTATTATTTTCAAATTTAAAATAATTTATTGAATCTACTGGATTGGTTTAATTATATAAAACTTAAAATATGTTATATTTTATCACATTTTGAAAAAGTCTACTATATATTATGTCACATTTGCAAAACAATTTGTAACCTTTACAAAAATATCTTGACATCTTTTACCGCTTTTTAATCTAATTCATATTATTTTTAACCAAATTTCATACCTAATTTGAGTAATTTATAATTAACACATGGACGTTAAACGGTATTACTCACGTTTTTATTTCTGGGATATACGAATAATTTCAGACCCTTCTTCAAGCAGTGAACCATCCTCCCACCACGCGAAGAATACCGTTTATATTTAAAAAATGTGAATCCCACTCGATTTTATTCCAATTTACCCATTGTTCGGAACCAGAATTAATCACAAACCAAAGACAATATTAAGAACCTTTCTCATACAATCATACAAGGAACAGTCTGTAGGTGTAGTAAACTTGAATAAGGAACTCTTTTCCCAAATTAAAACACTCCTAATGTGATAAGATTAAATTTCTCTTGGCTAAAATTGAATTTTGGAAATGTATAATCATTATCCAGCACGTTTGACCTATTAAACATAATATATTTACATACGATACAAACTCCTATAAAAGAACACTGTATAAAGTAGCGCTATCAGTCCTTGTGAGTGAACCATACCTGTTAAAATTAAATCTACAACTTTTTACAAAGATGTGTTCTCATATTATCTTTGAGATATTTTCATAATTTTTTGTTAAAGTGGGTTTTGCTAACCGACATAACCCACTATGTTATGTTACAGTTTTCGTTTATTTGGATAGTTAATGTTCAAAGCCGTAGTCAGTTATTCAATAAACTATCATGATATACTTATATTCTTCACCTTTTTCTAATAATGCAATCCACAGACTCTGTTGGCAGGCACAGCTTTATCTGAAACGTTTTTTTTTTAATGAAATGACGTTGCTAACAGTTTATAGCTAATAAATCGCACACAGATGTATAAGACAGGAACGTTATAAGCAACTGTAAATAATAATAACTTCTGTTTATGTATGTTAAGTAAATTTAGTTCCTTTAATGTCACTAGATGGCGCTGTATTAGTGAGAACACAAATTAAAACTCGGTGTTAAGATTTGCCTCAGATGAATGATGATCCTAGGCAACTGCTTTTTTTTATATTGATCCAAAGAAAAGAAGAGCCTTTCATCCAAATACAGTTCAAGATTAGCATATCAGGTATTTAATTGAGTACCCAGAAGGAATAATTCTTGCTTGGACCCTTATTTCCCGTAGACCTCGACCATCTCACACACGTCAGTCTGATGCTAAATCATACATCATACATATAATCATAGTCTGATAGACATACCTAAATAATTCTAAATATATACATACATATTGTAGATGAACTAAACTCAGATACAGAACAAATGATCGTGCTCATGACACAATCATTTGTCCTGGGTGGGAATCGAACTCGCGACCGGCTTGACAGTCAGGGTCACTAACCACTAGACTAGGCCATTCTGTCAGCAGTTATCACCCAAGGTAAGGAAGTAATAAATACTCTCACGTCAATGTAAGGCCCTGAACATTATGACCTGTTTGATCTGATATATTATATGGGCTAAAAAGTCCCGGGCCTAACACATAGATGGCGCTAGTTTTATTGCAGTCACCTTTTTTTCAGTTAATACTAACCTTCAAAAGACAGCTGTTAGAATTTCATGATATTCTATTCATTAGTTTGTGAGTTATTGTGCTAAGAGTGACGCTACTTTTGTTATTTTCAAAACAATGGAGCAAAAACAATATCGTGTTTTAATTTTACACTGCTTCTTGTGGGGAAAAAATACCGTTCAAGCGAAGCAATGGCTTGAAAAGTGTTATGGGGGGGACTCCGCTCCATCAGAAACAACAATAAAACGTTGGTTTGCTGATTACAAATGTGGTCGTAGAGACACCGATGATGCAGAACGCAGTGGACGTCCAAATGAGGCGGTAACACCAGAAAACATGAAAAAAATCCACAAAATCGTTTTGAATGATCGAAAAGTGAAGTTGCGTGAGTTAGCTGACATCGTAAAGATATCAAAAGAACGTGTTGGCTTTATATTGCATGAGCATTTGACTATGAGAAAGCTCTGTTCAAAGTGGGTGCCGCGTTTACTCACTGTTGACCAAAAACGAGAACGTGTTGATGATTCTGAGCAGTGTTTGACCATGTTTATACGTAACAAACCGGAATTTTTACGTCGATATGTGACAATGCATGAAACATGGATCCATCACTTCACTCCGGAATCAAAACGATCGTCATCTGAGTGGACAGCAACTGGTGAACCTCGTCGAAAGCGCCCGAAAGCACAACAATCGGCTGGAAAAGTTATGGCCTCGGTATTTTGGGATGTGCGTGGTGTAATATTCATCGACTATCTTGAGAAAGGAAATACCATTAACAGTGAATATTTTATAGCGTTATTTGAGCGTTTGAAGGCCGAAATTGCAAAGAAACGACCGCATATGGCAAAGAAAAAAAATTTGTTTCATCAAGACAACGCACCGTGTCACAAGTCAATCAAAACAATGGCAAAACTACATGAATTGAACTTCGAATTGCTCCCACATGCACCGTATTCGCCAGATTTGGCTCCCAGCGACTATTGGCTGTTCGCAGACCTGAAAAAAATGCTCGCCGGTAAGAAATTTCGCACGAATGAAGAGGTTATCGCTGAAACTGAGGCCTATTTTGAGGCAAATGATAAATCGTTCTACAAAAGTGGTATTGAAATGTTAGAGCGGCGCTGGAATGATTGCGTTGCTCTTGATGGAGATTACGTTGATGATTAAAGCTAATTTTGAACCAAAAAAACTGTGTTTTCTTTGTTAGGCCCGGAACTTTTCAGCCCATGTGTTATACGTAGCTTTCAGCAAACAGACAACTACACGCCGTAAAGTACTATCGACCGATATAATACGGCAGGTATGACACTTAGTCAAAATATGAAGAGCACATTAGAACTGACAACTTGAGCTTATGATAGATCCATAAAAAAGATGACTATCAAATCAAATCAGTCAACTGTCAAATCAACCTCAAGACAGTAAGTTTGGTAAATTTTTGTATAAAATGCCTTGATGTAACGTCACGCCTCAGTATTGTCAAATCACTGATTTTAAACTTCACCAACAACGTTAAAGTAAAACTGGACAACAATTTGCAGTGGTTTAAGTTATTTCAGTGCCTTACTTGGCCACCCAAGTATCTTGACAGTTAACTTTGCTATAGAACCTTAAATTTCCGGAAGGATCGGACAGGTCCGGAAGGAAAACGAGCTAGGACATACCAAGAAAATTCTTATAAAACCAAAACTAGTTTCCGATAGATAAAAAAAACATGATTACAACTTACCAATCATCTTGGGATAAGGCAAATTCAAATTCTTCATAATATTCACAAACTCAGGTAACGATTTCGTCAAGCGTGGGTTGTATTTCTTTTCCTCCGCGACCGTGGTGGCCGTCTGTCCCCTGTAGTCGTGAGCGGGGTACAGCGTGTAGTGATCCGGCAACGTGAAGATGCGCTGGTGAACTGAGTTGTAGAGGGTCTCCGAGGAGCCCTCTTGGAAATCCGTGCGACCGCAGCCTCGGATCAGAAGGGTGTCACCGGTGAATGCTATACCCTGGAATTTAAAAGTTAACTTCGAAAATTTATAACGAAATTATTTTTAAAATTCTATCTCGATATTAAATACTGGACTGATATACGTATATTTTTAGTCTAGTAAGATTATATGGCAAAAAAACTGGAAGCAAGCCAGGCTATAAAATCATCAACAGCCTTTAATAGTCCACTGCTTGACATAGGCCTCTCCTTAGATAGAATGTTTTTGCCTACTATACCATGCAGGCGCTAGGAGGGGTCCGGATGTCTTAATAACAGCAGTTCCCGGATCCCTCCTATTACAGGCGCAGAGTGGCACACCGTTTGGTTTTAGTCGGTCCGATTCCGACACACCACCCCCCGCAAACTCAGGTGGGGTGACGGCCCGAGGGGGTTTCCACACATAAAAAAAAGGGTTTGTTTCAAGTTTTCCTTTGCAGTTCTGTTGCCCTGTGTAGTGTAGCTCCCTTAGTGGGCTCTTACGACACCCACGTGATGAATAGGGGTGGTGACTCCCCGATATTTTTTATTTCTCTCGGGGTATTTCTTCTAAACTTTACTTTTAATAAATTTAAGTGTTGAACGTTACTCATCATTTATTATAACCGTGAAGTTATTCTAACCTGCTCATGACAAATATAAGTCAAACAGCCATTAGTGTGACCCGGGGTCGCTGTGGCTTCCAGTTTATGTGCCCCGAAGTTGATCACCTCACCGTCTCTCAGATATACATCAGCTTGAGCTCCTGACGCCTTGCCGATCACACTCTTCGTCTCCGGTAGGATGGACTTCAGCTTGCCGGTGCCAGTTATGTGGTCTGCGTGCATGTGCGTATTCACTGCAAATAATAATGATGTATATCATAAAGTGTTAGAAATCTGACTATGGTGGAACGACCTACCTAAAGCACTTCTTTCTACGTCCTTTTCCTCCTATGTCCCAAACCTGTTTAATTAATTCGAAACTAGACTGGAAGATTTTTTTCTTGTTTTTTACCAGCGGTAGTTGAACTATTTCGAAAATGAGTCATATTAATTTGTCAATACATTTACATACATTTAAGTTACAATTATTATTATTTTTCCGCCCCGCGTCGCTCCCGGTGCAAAGGTGCCCATGATACTGGCAGCATTGCCTCGCTGAATTGCAACGGAAATCCTTTGCACCAGAAACGAGCCGGAGCGGGAGTCACCACTTTTATCCCTAACTTTGTCAATTACTTTAACGAATAAGCTAATATTAATAACCTAATTTTAAACATAGGAGAGTCATGCCCTCCATGTGGTGACGGATTAAGAATACGAAGGGTGTCGTAAGACCTGACTAAAGGCACGACAACAGCACTGCAAAGAGAAGGAAAACTTGAAACAAACCCTATACCAACCCGTCTTGCCAGCGTCGTATAGTAGGCCAAAACCTCTTTTCTATGGAGAGGCTTATGTCCAACAGTGGAATATAAAAGGCTGTTGATGATGATGATGATGATGACTGTATGGAATCATGCCACATGTGGGTTGGCTCGGCCAGAGCGATATACGACCTCACACACAAAACCGGTGTTAAGTAATTATTTTATTGCTTTCCAGCGAGTGAGCAAGTCTTAGTCCCACTAATATCCAGCTTTATCTAATTGTTCAACAACAGTATAATTTTTCAATATATACCAATTGAATTGAATGATACGTTGTTGGTTAAATTCGAAGAATAGCTACAAAACAAGCGCACTTCTTGCACAAGAAGAGCTAGTGAGGGTACCTTATTCTATTAAGGACAGGCAGACAACCGCTCAAAATCCTAATTCATTTAAATTATCCATATTAATATTATAAATGCGAAAATGTGTCTGTCTGTGTGTCTGTCTGTCTGTTTGTTAACCCTTCACGCTTAAACCGCTAAACCGTAGAAAATTTGGTATGGAGGTAGTTGGAGTTGTGGGGACATAGGCTATATTTACCGCCATATCCGACAGACACGCGGGCAGAGCCGTGGGCAAAAGCTAGTTGTCCTGTAAATTATATTTAAAAAAATGTTACTATTTGGACATTTCTTCACTTTTAAGGGCCAGTATTATAACTTACTTGCATAGATTAACTTGAAACCAAGTTCTCTGATAAGTGCGGCGTCTCGCTCGGCATGTTCGAGAACAGGGTCGATCAGCACAGCCTCACAGGAACCCGTGTCGCCCAGCAAGTATGTATACGTACTACTCACTGTGTCAAACAACTGGAATACAAAAAAAACATTAGTAACGAAAATTTCACTAAAAATTAAGTTCAAGATAGATCAGCTGCACCACATTTTTATTGGATGAATAAATATGATTTGCTAAATATATCACATTATTTTTCTGTCTAGTTTACAATATAGTGGAAGAAAATTAATTAAAAATAGGTTCCAGGTTTTGGTCATATTTTCTAGAGCTTATGCTCTAAGACCAAAGACCAAGACTGTAAAACAATAGTCACAAGACTAAAATATCAAAATCTTTGATTTTTGGCGCAAAAATGTATTTTAGGATTAAGTTTTAAAAGACGAGTACATTTAATATGCAGCAACATATATTTTTAACGCACTTGTGTTTTAAAATTATACTTGTTGATGTACGAAAATACGATACGTAGATGTACGGCTAATGGCGTAATATTATAGCGATTATATGCAGGCATAGGAATTAAATGATTTTAACTATCATAATCAAGCATTGGATATCTTTAAACAGACTTCACCGCGATATATCTACTTATTGATATCACGTAAACACTCGATTGATATCACTGAACAATATCGCATTATATTCTTTAAATAATGCTGTCAATTGTCTTGTCTTGTTTATCTGCGTGCTACTGTTGTTAGGAGTTCTCTTTTTTTACAACTGTTAAGGGTTAAAAATCATACTGCATAGGTGTGGTTATAAAGGATCACCACACCTCTGCAGTATGATTTTTTGTTTTAGTTTTATTGGTGTAGACCAATACAACACCTTGATAATACCTGTTTGCCAAAATATATGGAATATCGGTGATATTTAAGATTCATAATTTAAACCACCACGCCTTACGCCTTTAACTTTTTTTTTATTTTAGAGGGGGCAGACGAGCATATGGGTCACCTGATGGAAAGTGACCATCGCTGCCCATGAACTTCTGCAACTCAGGAGCCTTTTAGGAAGGAGTACGCTCTTCTCTTGAAGGTTTGCTCTTTTCTTTTTAAATATACTAGACATGTCTTTGCTCGTGGCATGGCGATTTTTTCAGGATTAAAAGCGCCCCATGTGTTAAATAGTTATCCAAACTTTACCATTTATAATAATAGCCTGCTATGCCCGCCGCGGCTTATCTCCTGGTACCTGTATATATTTGTTTTTGCGCGAAACCCAAATTCTTTTTCAAAGCGAAAACAAGTTATATGCTCCTTATAACATTACCTCTGCCAGTGAAAATCCCATGAAAATCGGTCCCCCTTTTCATGAGATCAACCGAAACAACCAGACAGACACACAAAGATTTTTAAGATCGATTTTTAACGTAAGTATCACAATACTTACCAAATACTTTTTAGTATAATATTATATAGTATTTGGTAAGAAGCTGTTATTACGTTACAAGTACAAGAAATACACCAATTTTATTTATTTGTACTGATGCACAGACTATATTGAACTATGTAAAATGCTAAGATACGATTACTTTAACAAATACTATACTAAAGCAAGACTGTTTAAAATTATATCCAATTCAATACTGACACCTTAATGTTTATAGGCATAACACACAAAATTAATGTAAACATATCTTATTTCTATTACATAGAGCAGTCTTTCCCAAAGTGGGCGATAACGCCCCCTTGTGGGCGCTGCAGGTCTAAAGGTAAGAGACCCAGAAAAAAAATGTGGGCGTTGTAGAGGCTTGGGGGGCTATTTGTAATTGTTGTTGTATTTGTTTCATCTAGTGAGGAGGACTCTTAGACACCGACTGACTACAACTTGTGAACATCAACTAATATTAATTAAGAGATTGCTCAAACTCGGTTCTATATTTCTCTCCGCGTAGTTCATATATCTGTCCTGTTTTATTGAATAAATAAAATAAAAATCATGACCATCGGTCGCTCCGTTTCCAAATGAAAGTAGGCACAAACAAACGAATAAAAAGGCAACAGACACACTTTCGCATTTTAATAGTTATTAGTATTCCTAGATAGGTAATTTTCGTAAGTAATAGACTGCGGGCAATCATGTTTTAACAAGTTTTTGTTAAATAACCCGATTTGTGAATTCCTTTATCAATCGGCTGGTTCATAGAATACTTGTCCTTACTTGTTGAGTACGATTGAGCGTCGAATGAGACAAACGAGTTTATGCATGTTTATCTTATTCCTGTCGGTGCGTGCTGCTTATGCAATGCTATATAATCAACGTAATATTTATTTTATTTTCATTTGCGGTTTCGCGCGTAATAGATAAGGAGTACTTAAAGAACAATGGCAGAAACATATTTACCTAAAACTTAAGCGTTTAAAAAATTGAGTCACAGTAAACTTAATCAATTTTTTTTCTATGATTTATCATTATGGTGGTGCCATGTGTTGTATAAGTCTTATAAGAGATAAGATATTTTTGAAGATTTTATTTGACCTAAGTACGTAATGTCAGATTCGCCATCACGTATAACTGACTAGGGATGCGTGGTGGCAATATTATATTATGGAACAATTTATCGATAATTGATTCTTATAGCTTTGGCTGAAATATTTACCGAAGGTTCACTATTATGATTATGAATTTGCTTCTGAGCACGTCTTCACTCGTACGGTAGTGACTGAATCAACATAATTAGAAATGATTTAAAATATTTTTGACTCTCTTTAAACGATTTTAAACACACTAAAGAAATAGAATATAGTTACGTTATTTTCCACTACACAGTGTGATGAGAAAAATACATTGTCATTGATAACGGCACATAAATAGACATACATCGATATTTTCAAAATGTCGATACGTCGTCGTTTAGTACATATCTCTTAATCTGTGGTTTAGATCCTGTCAAGTTCCGGACTCACCACGTTTGTTATTTTATTTTTGTTTAATTTAGTGTTAAACTCGAATAGATGTTATGCTTTTATTTTTTTTATTTCATATACTGTAATAATAATTAAAATAATATTTTCGGCTATCTGACACACAACGCCATCTAGTTTCAAACAAAACATTAACAATATGTTAGTACTTAACCTCGAAACATTCAAAATCCAATATCTTTTTTCCTAGACTTCTTTCGCAAGTAATTTTGATATGAGAATGGTCAAGAATAAATTCTCAAGTGTTAAGGATTTTTTGATATTTAAACGCTAACATTTCAGTTCAAATAAAATTATGTATGGGGACCTGCCATTGTCCTTTAACACTTACGTATTTCTCATCATTGTGCAATCATCTGAGGACTAGTCAATTCTCCATTTAGCTCGATGAGTCCACTTTACCAACTAATGAAGCATTGTTGCTGCCTTACGTGAGGTTTATTAAGAATGATAAAATATGTGAAGAACTATTGTTTGCTAGAAATTTAGAGACCGATACAAAAGGCGAAACCATATTCAATACATTGGAAAAGTTTTGTGATGAGAAAGAGATTCCCTTGAAAAATATTATATCATTGCTACAGATGACGCTCCGGCTATGACAGGGTGCCATAAAGGCTTCGTAGCGTACTTAAAAAATAAAATTCCTGATGTCCTTGCATTGTACATTGCGTTATTCATAGACAACATTTGGTTGCTAGAAACTAAAAGAACGACTATTTCAATCACTGCAATATATCATCAAAGCAGTCAATAAAATCCGTAACAGCTCTTTGAATGAAAGATTATTTCATCAGCTTTGTGTAACTAATGACGAAAATTTCAACCGTTTGTTGTTTCATACTGAAGTTCGTTGGCTATCAAGAGGCAATTGTCTGACTCGATTTTATAACCTGTTTGACTTTGCCGATTTCAATTTTCAATTTGCCGAATTTATCAGTATCCTCCAGTAACGTCATGTCATGACTGTCAACAAAGCAATGTCACCTCGGCTGGAAGAATAACTTATAGAATTGACAACAATCGAGGAAATAAAAATGAAGTTCAAAAATGGCTACCAAGAATGTTGGCTATAAAAACCGATCCCGACAATTGTACCCAGGATTTTGGTCAATCGTTCAACGATTCTTGATGGCATTCCCATGGTTATAATTGTGAACGTGGATTTAGTGCTGTGGCAACGCTGCTTACTAAAAAGAGAAATCGTTTGCATGTTACCGAACGTGGCTACTTGCGGCTGTTCTTGAGTAAATTGGAACCTGATATGAACAAATTTATTAAACAGCATCAGATTCATCCTTTACATTAGTTTTTATATAAGAATCGATTATGTTTGTTTTATTTTGAAAAAAAGATACTCTGTCTGAATACTATAAAGTTGAGTTTCAATAATCATTCTCATTGGCAGGTGTAGCCCGTAAGAGTTAACTTGAGACCTGAGCGCCGTTATGTACTACCTACTGCGTTCAGGTCTCAAGTTAACTCTTGCGGGTTATAGTAAAAGTCTCGTTTGGAATGAATGTTTATCTCCGCTAATAAAGCTCACAATAATTAAGTCGAAGTTATAGTCGTTTTTGAGTAGGTGAAAAAAATGGGGGAGCTAAAAAAAATTTATTCTCAAAGTGGACAGTAGACAAAATAAGTTTGGGAACCCCTGACATAGAGCAACACGGTAGGGAGTGGCCATACGCAGGCGTTCCCCTCTGCCAAACTGTAAGTCTACACAGTCATATGCGTGCAATAAAACTAGTTGCGCTGCTGAGTAGACTACACAGTTTCCATTACTGGATACTAAAAAGGTTTTTATTGTAAGTCCTCTTTTATCTTAAAATCTCTGGTCGATAATCTAAAAGTCGCAATAGGAATACCCACAGAATTATCACTCACGCCGAATATGTCAACCCTAAAAAATTTGACTACAATTTGAAAAAAATTAGTCAAAAGATGAAAAGTTTTTTGTTCGTATGTAATTTTGATAACTATTGACATAATTACTATTTATTCTGGTTTTATATTAACTTAAGTCCATTTATCATTATCAAATAAAATTGTTAGATATTTTATCAGTATTTCATCATTATGTGTTATTCATATTTATATTATCTACTCAAAACTAATCCAAGACAAAAAAACTATCAAGTCATTAACAGGTTCTCACAAGCTGTTATTGTAAAAAAAGTTATTTTATTTAAAACTCGAACTCACCTGTCTAAAGAAGAAGTTGGATCCTTTGTCCATGGCTGATGACACAAGTCTGATTTGCACGCCTGCCTTCGACAGAATGCAGTACGCGCCCGCTATCCGCCACCCGCGAAATGTCAGTTTTTCCAGCATCCTGTCACATTAAAACAATGGCAAATATTTCATAACAATATTCTATCTTGCGGTTTATTTAATATCTAAAGAATATATACCTAGGATTACGTGCATGTAGACTTATTCTCTAGTATCAAATGTGTTTGTTTAGCATGACTTATCATTATTTGTATCAAACAATGGTTAGTGCTATGCCAATATGTATCGTATTAGGTACATAAACTTAACTACAGTTCTAATTGAGAGAAAACTAATTCACACAAGCAATAGATACATTTTTGTTTTAATAGATAGATTTATTTATCGTATCTATAAAACATAAATCGGCGCAGAACTTCTTATGTTTCTGAAGCGTACACAAACCAACTCAACATTTTTATGTATATATACTTACCTATAGATTATATTTTTAATTACTACAATAGACAATGACTTGGAAGATAATGTTTTAGGGTAATGTATAGTTAGATCGATACCGACCAATATATATAAATATAAATAGTAGGATTCAGAAATACCTAATCTGGACCATATTCATAAACATTTTATTTCTTATTTAACACGTATTTTATGTATTACTTCCTTCTGAAGTATAGATTTAAAATAGTAAAACGCAGAACTTATTTGTTTCTTTAACAAGATTTATATTAAAAAATAATAAATGTGATAGTAAACTGTTTCCCTTTCTTACGCTTTCACATCTAAACTTCAAAAACTTATTTGATTGATTGATATTGATGAATTTTGGTAAAGACTGACAGGATCCATTAGAAGCTTGATTTTAGAAAGCTAGATGAAAAACGACAGAGATTTAGTTAGAAGACCTATCTATACCTACTCGTACAAATAAATAAATTGAAGTGTCTGTTTATAATGTCAAAATAATATAATATATATTTTTTTATGCTCACATGGTTCTTTGCACGACACCGATGCCTAAAAATCAGTTTAAATTTTTTTGGCCGTAAGGGTACTTATGGCCCGGGATAAGACATTGCTTAAATTTATCACATGCATGGAGAAATAGATTCTAAACAACAAACATGCAGAGTTAAAAAAGAAATTCAATCATATCCAAGTCATCGCGGTTGATTTGCTGTCATTTTTTGAAGAGTTACGTTGTCTGTCGCCGAAACTGATCTTCACAACTATATCAAATTTAAATGGGGCCACTTCGAAATAAACCCCTTTCGAACAAAAAAAAGAATTTTGAAAATGTAATTAAAAAATGTAATAAAAAGAAAATATCCGAATTGATAACCTCCTCCTTTTTGAAGTCGGTCAAATAGAATATATTTGCTGTTTCCCTGACCATGATCAAAAATTGATGGAATAAAAAGGGACAGGTCTGCTTTTACAAGCTGACTGGCTGGAGTGAAGAGGAGAACTGCACATGCTCTTCTTGGCTTCCGTCGTCGTCGCATTCACAGCTAGTGGAATCCTAACTATTCATGAGGGAATATGTATATTAGATATCAATTCAATTTTTTTTTTAAATATTAAGGTGCTACCTCATACCTAGATATTGTCAAATTATTTACGTTTCATGTTGACCTGAAGGTTAAAAGAAAACAACATTTAATTGACAAATATAGAGGGCAATTAATGCTGTACCTTCAGTTGTTACACTTACATTTATTGATTCAGGTGAAATAATTAATTTTAAACATACATTTACCCTGTATTACTGTAGGTCCCAAATACATAAGTACATAATAAAGAGGTTGTGACATAAAAACATTTATGTAGTGATGAAGGATAATTTATGTTGCTTCGATCAACTCATCACTTAAGGTAAATTTGCAACATAAACAAACCCATTCTAATGTAATTTTATAACCACAAGACAATAGTAAAAAACAAATAACAATACAAATGCTTTATCAAACCGCATCATAAAAAATATTATATATTCTATTGTAAAAAGATCTCTCACAGTTTCATATTCAGGTGATCTTTTTTAAGCTATTGCATAGCTTCTATTGAATTTTATTCTATTGGCCTTGAGCGTGGAGACGAATCCAGAAATTCCGTAACGAAAATAACCTAATAACCGACACAGCGGTGATACTTTTTAGTTTTGCCATCTATCGATGAATAGCAGAACTTTTAATGACTTTTTTGGAATATCACGCTTGTCTCTTTAGTTCAGCAACTCGCCTCTAAATGGCATTGGTTGTGACGAGGTATTTTCCAGATATTTAGAAGATATCAAGTCTCAAACTTATGTTTCTTATTTCAGTTACCATAAACCTATAGTTTCAATGATAAATATTCCTGAATAATCTACATGTATTGTAAGATAATAAAAATATTTTGAACAATATTAACCTCTCATTTATTTAAGAAAAGAAAAAAAAAATGTTTTCTTATCGGTCACAACGCTCAAAAAGTGTAACTTGAATTAATATCAAAGGAAAAAAAAAAAAGGAAAAAAAAATACTGCATAAATAAAATAAATAAATAATTATAATTGCATAAGTTGATAAAAAATGCTATGCAATAGCTTTAACGCGGCAGTCCCCGAGTGCCACACGTCTTTTTTTGTTATAAGGCAATATTTGAGTTGGATTATGTCCAGGAAAGAAGTAATAACAAAAAAATATCCTGCAATATATGTTACGTTACATGAGACAAGACTTTATTATATTACTTAAGTTTGGTTTAGCAAGAAAGTTGACGGATTGTGTCTTACTCCACTACCTGGTTGTTTATCTGAAGTTAAAAGACTCTATTTGTAAGTAAAAGCTCCCGATGGTTGATTGTTATCATACAGGTTAGCTTGTAATTTAGAAATACAATTATATACTAGCTGAGACCCGCGGGGCGAAGCTAGTCTAAAAAAAGTAGCCTAAGTTACTCCTTATGTCATCAGCTATATGCCAGTGCAAGTCCCGTCGAAATCGGTCCAGCCGTTTCAGAGATTACCCGGAACAAACAGACAGACAGACAAAAATTGTAAAAAAAAAAATATTTTGGCATATGTACCAGTGTAAACATACATATGCATTTAGTAAAAAGCGGTTATTTTAATATTACAAACAGACACTCCAATTTTATTTATTTGTATAGATATAGATAACCTTACCAAAGTAAAAATTCAGTAGCTAAATATGTGAAAACGATGAATAACAGGCATTTGTTGAGTAAATACATTCTGATATAAGTATATACACAGAAAATATATATTTATAAACCTTCTCAAGAATTTTTATTATAAATGAAATTTAGAAACAGCAGTGATAGCAGTAAATGAATAGAAAGATGACTTTTGGACAAGAATTAGGATTATCATTGTCGGCCTATCACCGTCCACTGCTGGACAACGGACTCCCTCAAGGAGCGACCAAAAGAAGAAGAGGAAGGAGGATACATAACACAAAAAATCATGTAATAAACAGGACATAGAGAGAAAATCCCTATGGTTATACAATCAAGAGAAGTACAGTATATTGATGAATATACATACTTGGGACAAATTATATGCTTCAATGATCAGACGATAAGAGAAGTTGAAAGTCGCGTAAAGAAAGCTTGGGCTAAGTATTGGTCGCTCAAAGAAGTATTTAAATCGGAACTTCCTGTCAAACTGAAGAAAAAAGCAATGGATACTGTAGTTTTACCTACTTTACTGTACGGCTGCCGAAGCTGGGCGCTTACAAAAGAAATAATACATAAAATTAGAGTATTCCAGTCTGCAACAAAAAGAAGCCTGCTAGGTTTTTAAGCTAAGTGATCGAAAACGAAACACCGACAAAAGAAAAAATAACTAAAGTCATAGATGCGGCTGAGGTATTATGCAGATTGAAATGGAGATGGGCCGGACACATAGCGAGAACAACCGATGGACGATGGAGTGAGAGAGTCCTGCACTGGTACCCACGAGATGCAGTTAGACCATGCGTCATCTTGTAACATTACCTGGTATATTAAATATCAACATTGATGATGTCACTGAAATAAGATTGGCTTATAGAGAAGTAATAGACCTACATACCTATTTATACACAAACAATCCTTGAAATACCACTTAATTCTCCTAGCAACAATAACACATAACTAAAAGCAATAAATATATTGTTACTGATAACCAGAATAATTTATATGTACCTATTATTTGACTTTATTAGCACCTTCACAGAAATTATCCTTTGTTATTGATTTTTGGTTTGCTTTGTGATAATAAATTTAAAAAGTTATGATAGTCTTTTTTTAATGTATATCTATGTGGTCATGTAGTTAGTTTCAAGACTTAACCACTTATATATGTATAGGCAAGGTTTGATATACAGTCATAGTATTTTTTTGAGCACAATTATTTATTAAGTATTATGCTTAAATAGTAATAGACAGCACAGGCTAGAAAAAGGCAATGAAATCACCCAAAATTAAAGCAGAAGTTCACAAAATAAAAACAAATATGTAGTAAACAGATGGCTATTGGTGGCTAAGCAAAATTAAAATTTTAAAAATTTGATCAAAAGCTGTTGATGTTAATGTATATAATTTAAAAAAAGAGGTAAAAGGATACTGATTAATTCAAAATTAAGTTATGTTAAGAAAATATGTTAACTGTGCTGTATTTGTGTTACAATTAGAAGTAGAAAATTGGTAAAGCAAACTTGTACTGTATAACACATATATGTCTCTATAAAGCATCTATCAGCCTTTACATAAAAATCTTGTTTGATTTTTAGATGATCAATTAGAGAAAGAGAATTTAATTTTAATCTCAAAACTATAAGAAATAAAAAAAATGTAAAAGTAAACAATGAAAACTCACTTGAAAAGCAAAATGTAATAGTTTATAATAATTTATAATAACAAATGTACAGCAGAATACTTAAATCTTATCGTCACTATAAAGTTCACTTATCATTCTCACATTACGTAAAAGTAGCTGATAAAAAAACAAGCCATTAGCCGCACAGTAAAGTTCTAAAACCTAGAAGAACTGATCCAGTCTGAGAATTGTGAGGACATTATTGGAAATAAACATTGTAATTGACAGATCATGTAATTCTAATTTGATCAATGATTTGATAAGCTCATCGTAATGTAAGCATGTAATCCTAATAAAACCAACTGCTTAATGCTTAAAATCCTTAATGATCCCTACTCGGAAATATGGAACGATTTAGTAGTGACAGTTCCCGTTGACAGTGACAGTTCAAAGCACCATTCACGTTGCGACAAAAACGGCAACAATTGCGATTTTTTTAAACGTAATAATGAAATGTATGTTGAATAATACAGACAATAATGATATGATAATATACGTCATGTTACGTAGGTCATTACTGGAGTCTATTTTAACAATTACACATGTTGATCTGAAACCAATCAATGAAATATCGTTTATTGAATGACTTATTATTTCTAGAAATTTTATGTTTAGAAATGCCCAAATAGACTCCCCATAGGGCTTCTAAAGTATTACTTTACTCTATGCTATAGGGACTACCAACTATTAGTTACAATGAGACAAAAAAGAAATAGTAAATATTTGTTGACGATCTGTTTGAGCGCCCACGTGCAATGCTGATTAAGCTTCCCTTTTTCTCTCCATTTGAAAATCCGACTATAACCGAACGCTACCTACGTACCAGTATCCCGACGGACCCCAAGCCATCTTTTTTATTTTTTATGTTAGAGGGGGCTGACGAGCAGATGGGTCCTGATGGAAAGTGACCATTTCCGCCCATGAACGTCTGTAACTCAGGAGTCACAAACGCTTTGCCGGCCTTTTAGGAAGGAGTACACTCTTTTCTTGAAGGTTTGAAGTTCGTATCGGTCCGGAAATACCGCAGACGTTAACACGTTCCACAGATTGATTGATTTATCTACAGCTTACAAATGATCCCTTCGTGTGATCTGACGAAGTCCCCGTTCTGTAGTGGTCACCAATCACCCCCAGGTCTACGCTTTTGGAGGACGGAAGTCTATTAGCAACCTCCGGTACCTAAGCCACCTGCGGTACCTGGACCTTTCTCAGGCCTGGTGAACCGGGAGAGTTCCAAACCTTAAGACATGACCTATGAAGGCCATTCCGATAGCCTTCACGAGGTCACACGTCTGTTCCACCCATGCCGGGCACTCTGACAGCGTGTGGAACGTCGTGTCCAAGCTCTGGCCATCGCAGTTGTAGCACCCAGTCGTTGGCTCCTTGCGAATCTGACATAGGTGATCTCTTCCTGATGATGATGATGCCTTCTAAGGCATTTTCATTGATCCTTTTTGCCACCATCTGCGTCAGCCGAGTTTCTTCTTGAGCCAATCCTTCATAACGGGTCTCACCGCAACTATAACAGCGTGTCTCAATTAAGCCGCCTCATGATTTCCTGAACGTAAAATTATCGCCCGATCCAGTAGGGCAGATTTCGGTATTATACATACGTGTATAAGGTAATGCGAAGCTTATAAACGTTTGCATTTATCTTCGTACACTGCATATGCAAATTATGAGAATGTTTTGATTTCGTTTCGATATCTGTTTTTGACGGCCCCTTAAAAACGCTACCCTTGTGCGGTGCATGCACTGTACACACGTACCTGGTGGACCTGGCTTGCCCTCTATTAGGTAAGTGAGCTTAAATTTTTAATCATCAGGATGTGGGCGGCCAATACACTGCTGCCTACTCCCATCACGTAGGGGTAGGCAGAAGTGAGGGTGTATTTATGTTTATAAAACACATTGAAATTTAAAAGCAATGTTACAACAGGGAAAAGTAATATCTGAAATGTATTTTTAATACCTACATAGTTAAGTTCACACGATCGACATGCTACAGATAAACTTGTACAAAAGTATGGACTTGAATAATTTATTTAACCCCAAAAGGTTTGGGACTGAGACACAACTGGCAATTTATAGTGATGCATAAACTTACTAAAAAACCGTAAACCGAAACGAGTGATTTCAAAGATTTGTGAACTAATTAGTATTACAAATCCTATTTAGTTTTGTTTTCCCACTAAGTTTTGTTTGGTTATGAAATTTATTTAAATAGACTATTTTTTTTAGGTGGATACATAAATTATAATTATGTGAAGTGAAGGAAACGTAAAATGTGCTGGCCAGTTATACTAGTCGTAGGATACCTTTATGTTTTAAAAATATTTTTTGTGTCAAATGAAATTGTTTTGCTCAAAAAAATAACATAATAATGTAAAAATAAAAACACGTTGAAAAATATTATTATTTCTAATAAAAATTGCCAAGTAAATGGTTTAACATCGGAGATATAATCTTCAGGTAAAATTATAAATATTAGATTAGGTAATTGGCGATTCCAAATTTTTAAACATTGGACATGTTTGATAAACTTAGTTTAAAATTATATATCGAATCGATTACCAATAAGATTTAATTTAAACTATAATACATTTTAAAATACAATAAATTGTATCTATTTTACTAATCTATATTTTAAAATATTTATGTATGTAGAAAAGAGAATGTTTTGAACGTTAGAAAGTATTGCAATCATGTAATTAATGTAGTCTTCATTTATAGGTGGACCTTTGTGATATTTCTATTTCATTTTTCTTTATGTAAACTCTATTATGCTATCTTCGTCTAACAAGACTGCAAATGTATACGTCATTGACCTCTTTCATCCCCACTTCTATCAGTCAATATTTCGATTTCGCTCTTGTATGTACACAAACTGTTGCTAGTGTGCGTTAAGGCGGGCATTGCGTCTGTGCAACGTATTGATGTAAACATTCTCTTGTCATTTGTTTCAGTGCGTTTGGAGGATAGCATGGAAGTCCTTGCAAGGCGCAACTGAAAATAATACATGTGAACAGCTGATTTTGTTTTAATAAAATTTATTGTGTACCTCGATGTGATTGAAATACGTTAATGGAGATAACAGTTTAATTCTTTAGTGAGTCAAAGGTCTTTGTTTATGAAAGTGTTTATGAAAAAGGTCAGTTCACAATTTATTTTCTTCTATGATGTAAAAGTCTGCAATTAAACATAATCGTATAGATCTGTTCTTTGTGTGTTCCTTATTTAAATTTGTATTTGGAAGTAGAGATTATATTCAGCACCGAAGTATGGTAAGTACTTTATTTAGAAAGAGTAGTAACACACTAAGGTGATCGTTTTTATTTCGCCAATTAAAACGCTAAAATTACGTACAATATTCTAATCTAAAAAACTGGTTTGTACTAGCTGGCGCTGACATGACGCACCTACAAGCGACTTCCTTGTTGTAGGTAAATAATTAGATAAAGATAGAGCACGAAAGCAAAAAGAAGGAAAACTTGAAACAAACCCTTTTTTTTTTTTTTTTTTTTTTTTTTTTTTTTTTTTTTTTTTTTTTTTTTTAACGTGTGGAAATCCCCTCGGACCGTCACCCCTCCGGGGTTTGCGGCGGGGTGGTCTGTCGGACTCGGACCGACTAAAACCACACGGTGTGCCACTCTGCGCCTGTAGCAGGAGGGATCCGGGAACAGCTGCTGTTAAGACATCCGGACCCCTCCTAGCGCCAGCCCGCTCCTGGTGCGGGCTCCGTCTCAATGTAGATGTTCCTCTCTTTAGGCGACGTCCGGCACACGCGGACGCCGCCCCCTCGCGGCTGGCCAACAAACCCTATACCAACCCGTCTGGCCAGCGTGGTATAGTAGGCCAAACCCTCCTTTCTAAGGAGAGGCCATGTCCAGCAGTGGACTATTATAGTTTTTTTAGCAAATTTTTAGTGATTTAAACTTTAATATTAATACGTAATCGATTCATGTACAGCCTCCTATAATCCTTCTCCTTTATTTGTGTATATACCTACTGCTTATTGATATGATCAAATTATTTATTCATTAATTTTTGTGTTATAACTTTCACACCATTTCCATACATTACCTTATCGATTTTGACCGTGACCCATTTAATCTATTCGGTCGCGTACCACCTACCTACTTCCTCATAACAAAAGCGTGTCGAAATTATATCAGTGTTATATTTTATCGCTTCTGTAATTAACGTTTTAATTATATAAATTAGAGATCAGTAAGCATAAAATTTCATAATCTTTAATTAGAGAATAAATTAATTGATTGAAAGAAAATGTACATTATATTTTCTTGAAAATAAGACAATATAGTAGATGAAGTCTCGAACACGAAAAATATTATTTCGTGGCTCTAGTTTCTACAAGAAAATAAATAATCAACAAAACCGCAAGACAAAAGCGTAGAATGCTCGCGCGTTGCAACATAACATTACGTTTAGAAATACTCTGTCCTTGCTAACGCGGCGTGCGAAAACGGTCTACATTTTCAATTTTTTTTTATATTTATTGGAGATTATTATTATTTCGAAAGTATATAGTTTAATTAACAGTAACATACTCTGAAAACTTGTTTCAACATTGCTGTTACTTATTTGAAGCGCCAATTATTTTAGGCACCAACTAAATTTGCTAGACGATATTACACCAACTGAAGGGACGTTAGAGTGCTTTTTCAGGGCTGCCAGAGTTTATAATTGGATTCAAAATCTTCATAGGAAGGCCAATGGTCATCCATGTATCCTATTAGTAGATATAGAAGATTAACGTGTATATATACATATACACCATAACAACACATATATCATAAGAATTTTTAGGTTTGCTGATATTTAATGTACGAGCCGATTTTGTACACTGGTACTGATTTCATGGACTCGGCGGCATTTATTTAGATTTTGGTATTGTGGCAATCCTATTTTTATATTTAGATGTTATGATACATCGCGACTGGAATAGAGCGGCGTACTTTTGTCCCTCGTATGCTTATCGGTATCGGAGAGTTTACTCGGCAGGAATTAAACCTTCAGACACCAGTATTAAAACGATGACGGTCGTTTTGGTTAATTGCTCGATGATGATAAATGTCCGTAAATTTCCATCGACATCTCTACGCTCTTATCAGACAAAAATATATCCTGAAAGACTTCCAGCGCGAACTATCTCACGGTCATTCTAGCTCTTTGTCTTCTTCAGGTAGTTGTAGGGTTATCCTCTGTATTTCATGATGTTATGAGTAATATTTTAATCAGTATAAGAGGTCACGTGTTATTCGTTGGTAACACCTATGTCATTGTTATCTCTGCCTGTATCCTTGCTAATTTATAATTCACTATGAATTATTTCAGTCTTTTATTATTATTTTCGAAGGAAATGGTTGAAGTTAATACAAGAGGGATGTAGCAGTTGTTGCTTGCTTAGGTCCAGTTTACGTAAGCTACTTTAATCGATTCGAATCACGCATATGGAATAAAGCAGTCAACAAAGCCTTGTAACGTGATGAGTTAAATAAGAAACCATTGTTTTTCGCATCATTTTTTAAATTAGATATTAGGTGTCTATTTATACAAATATGATGGCACTATCTACAACAGCTGTTGGTGTAAATACGACATAGACAATGTAACTGGTGAAGTGACGTTCCTCAGGGAAAATTAATTATACAATGCAATACTTTATTTCCTTATATGCAGAATAAGTTCACTGGCTCATAATATTAAAAATAATAAGTTTAAAATAAGATTGTATTTTCAAAACTCACAAACTACATACATTTAAACAACGAGACATTCCATTACATAGATAAAGACCAAAGCGTGGAATAAAACTTATTTAATATCTGTTTTTACATAAACATGTCTAAATCACTTAATGTAAAAAATTATAACTGCGCAAATGGAACTGCGTAGCGTGATTATCTTGTGATGTTTCGGATTTGCCAACAATTTTTTGTTAACCTTTGTCAAGATACGAAGGACGTATCTAATAGCTTTGTCATCAAATCACGCACCAATGTTATTGTCACTTAATTGTTCCTAAATTGTCTCACGTTTTAAGTCTGGCCACACATTCAACAATTGGTTCTGAATTGATGTAATTCATTCAGGCTCATGATGTTTTGCTATTTGATTCAGGCAAACAAATATTCGACATCATAGACTTGTGTAAACCTAGCAGTTATTTTTGATACTAAAGTTTTATTAGTCTTTCAATGTTGTAAGATTGCCATTGCAAAAAAATACTTTATAGTGCACAAGATAAAATTATTCTATAGTTGAATAAAAATCAATAGATTCCCGACCTTATATGTTTCAGTTCGCTGTTAAAATGAATTCTCAAACTATGTTAGCCACAGATGTGAAATATTAGACAAAGCGGTTTACACTATGGATCGCTGGTGAACTAAAAGGTTCGCCGCCCCCGTCGTCGCGACGCCCGACAGGGTGGCACACCCTGTGGATGAATTCTCATTTATTCAGCGAGCGAAACCACTACAAGAGCCACTTGCATTTGTTTGTTTTCTTTGGAATAATTTAAGAGGTTCCACATTGTTTATTGCAGACACTCTTTCGCTTTGCTCTGCATTCTTGATAGGTTGATGTTATTGATATTGATTGAGATACCTAGATATTCTTAGCTTATTGTCTAGAGTTTGGCGATTGACGGCATCCATTCCCAACAGAGGGTTTATGTAAAAAAATATATATTTTAAATTATAGTTTAAAAATAACACTTGACATGGCAAACTTAACAAAGAATAGGTTATTTATATATACTTTTTTTAAATAGAATTACTTTTGTTACACAGTATTGCAGTGTGTTAATGTTAATAAAAGTTAGCTATTTAATTTTTTATATTTTTTTAATTTATTGATTGGGATTCAAATAAAAAATACATAAAAGTTATATCTTCACACAATTAACAAAGATTTTTGTTGAAAATAAGGTCAAATATTAGTCAATAATATGCTCATGAGGTCGGTAGTGGGACTAACGTTAGCGAGTCTCAACAGTAAATTTTGAATCGGTTCTATATAAATATTTCTTCTGAACACAGTGCTCAGTGCCATAGGCAGCTATTCTTAATGCGACCATTGTTTCAAGAAATAATATTTGATTCTATTGGTTGCACAGATATAGATCGTATGTACCTAGTCACTTATAGGTCATCCTTGTTACCTTAAATGCTGCTTAAGTAACCATCAAAACACATGACATGTCTGGCCCCTCTTCAAGGGCGTGTAATCGCTGCTATTTCCAGTCACATAGCACTATTTTACTTTATTACATATTTTGTGCAAATTTCGTAATTTTTATATCTAAGTTTTCGATATTTTCAAAATATTACTGGGTATACTGCACCATTTAGTGTCTTTTAATCTAAGTATAGCACTTATTACATACATAGATGTCTCGCCAACTACCAGCGCAAATATTTCAATTGGATTTACACGAGACGATTTTTTTTTGTGTGATTTATCAATAGCTTTGTTCTATGTTTCTGTTTATTGTATTATTCGACAAAACCCCTCACGAAAGATGCACATCCAGTTGTTTTAAAAGAAGCACTTAATCATTGTTAAATGCAAGCAATAAGTTTTATTTATTTTTGAAATATATCATGCCTCTACCAATGAATCGCCTAACATGGTTCTGATTCGCTACTTTAATAAAATAATTAATTGCTTAAAATAATTTAACAGAAGCATGTTGTGCAAATATACCGTTATTACAATTATTGCGGCCTTGGCAACTCTCGCTTTCTGAACAACCTTACCTTACACGATAAAATTAAATTTAACTTTGGTTTACGTATATTTTTTTAATGACGATTGAACTTTCAGCAGACAATACAAAAATGTTACATTTTATTATTTTAAGTTATGTAAGTGGTTACTAGAGCGGAAGGCCTGATGTTATATGCTAACCCTATTACGGCGAACGATGTGTCAGTCGTCTGACCACCCAAACTTACTTATTCACAAAGCAGTTGTGAACCTCACGAACATACACGAAACTTGTTTTTAAAGTATGCGGTTTTATAAGTTCCGGAATTTTAAATGGTATAAAAAAAACAGTTAGTAAGAGGTTAAACACTACTTGATTGAATAAAGTTTAATAAAAATTCAAGGAACTAAATAAAGAGAGCAATAAGATAAAACTTAAAAACTCTATTGTTTATGAATTTCATGTTGTAAATTTTCCATGATATTATCTACACCATTTTCGATTACGCTATCCTCACCTTGTCTGTCAGCTAATGAAGAAGGTTAGGTTACGCTTAATGAAAATTTTAATTTACTATCATCACATCCGCGATGTTCATGAAGGTTTACACAATCGGTGGACGTCACGTTAACGACACCATTCGCAATAATGTAAAACACGTGTTAAAATGTCGAAAGGGATTTTATGTTACAATTAATGTGATTTACTGTCTCATATGTCACATATCATTTTTCACTTGAACGGTTCGCGAATCTTGAGCCTTTTTATATTTATTGCCATCATTTTCATTTTATGTAGATAATAAAATATCAAGTGATGAACATAACAATCTCGAAAAAGAGTCGTTCACCGAATAGGTTATTTATCTAAAGTGAAGGCTCGATAAACATTAAATGTAAACATATTTATAGGTAGGTATATGAATATATAGAATATACATAAAGAGGACGTGAAATACGGCACATTGTCAGTAATGGCAAAATTACAAGCAATAAAGTGTGTTTCAGTGGAATGCATTACAAATTTATATTTTTTATAATATGTTGCATTTAAGAATGGTCAATAAATTAGAATCATAACAATTGGATGCAAATACTAGAAAACATAGTTAACAAGTATATTCACTGTGTGATGCATTTTAGATGTAAGTAAAGCGATTAATATAGTGTTAATATAGTTTATGAAATGTTGCTTAACAGATTTATCTTAGTGTAAAAGAAATCTCTTGTATCTCAAACACTAAAACGGCAAGAGCCCGATCTTAGTAGTCCATAACAGAAAAGTGGCAAAGCGCTTTTCGCTGTTTGCCATGACAGAAAATCTAGTTAAACGTCCTCTTATGAAAACGAGGTTTAAAGAGCTCTTGAGTACTTAATCTAAATAACAGCACGAAAAAACCCTACCGAAAAATTATTTACCGTTTGTGACTAGACATAACCACTCATAGCATATGTAGATCTTTATTTCAACTCATTATGTTTTTAATATATGCTTCTGCCTGTACAATATGGCTTAGATATTAATAAAAATATACGCCCTTGAAACTAATAATTCGCAAGGTCTCACTGAAATAGATTCTTCCTACTATTCTTTTTTGCAAGCTTTAATTTACCTAAATATTGTTCGTTCATTTGCGTACAATCTTAGAAGCTTATCTTATAGATCGTATAATTAATATGTTAGTTCAGTTCCACACTTATACAATTGGAAAATATATTCTATGATGGGCAAGAGCCGATAGGAATCTCCGACAGGAATAGGCACAAACGTGTTAAAATTCACAATATATTTAATCTTATATATAAAATTCACGTGTCACAATGTTAGTTACCATACTCCTCCGAAACGGCTGGATTTTTATGAAATTTTGTGTGCACATCTGGTAGGTCTTTTTTTTTTTTTTTTTTTTTTTTTCCGTGCGGAAATCCCCTCGGATACCACCTATCGGTGGCATGTCGGACACGAACCGACTAAAACCGCACGCCTTCGCCGGGTACTAATAGCCGGGGAACCAGGTATACCCTAGAAAGGAAGGCCCTGGTGCAACATCTGGTAGGTCTGAGAATCGGCCAACAACTATTTTTCATATCCCTAAATATCAAGGGTTGAAAAAAAAAACTGATGGATGGGTCATCCATAAGTTTTTTTTTCAATATTTCCAAGATATGATGCAAACAATATATGGCAAAACAACGTTTGTCGGGTCACCTAGTATATAAATAAATTTTTACTTCACTAAAGTTTGTAATATTTTATCTTTGCTAAACGAACCGTAGCAAATTTCTTATTCGCGCGAATTGACGTTCTGCAAAACACATACACACACACACACAGAGAGAGAGAGAGATAAGATATTATAAATTATTGCCTTGTTATTCCTCTGAAAATCTGCCTCAATAAAAGTGAAATGAAAAACTAACATTTAATAATTAAAGAGATCATAGACATTTAAACGTCTGTTTGTCCTCAGCAGGTAGGTACCGTTATTACAAACTAAGTGGTGTTTATAGTCGGCCATTGTAGGACTACAAACTAATTAAGTTTAAATGCACATTTGAACTCGACCTTGCTGACACAATCACGAATCACGATACCGCTTGGTAACGTGATTTGTGATTTGGACCCGTCATGTTGAGCAATGTCCCTTCTAATGTTGTTCTTAAGGTTTTATTTCCTACAACCAACCAAAAGAATACCCAAGTTAATTTCTTCATAGAAATCCATCATAAGGCCTCTTCTTCTAGTATGTAGTGCTTCAGGCTCCTCCATGTTGTCCTCCTCCCTTTTTTCCTACAGCTGATAATAAATCATTATATTTAATGTTTTAAACTACCTTATCTTGGCATGATCTTTTTCATTGTATTTACTCGTAACACAATGATTTCATAATCCATAGCGACATTGCATATAATACAGGTGCACAAAAAGGTATAACGGCGCAATATGGGTGATAATTTAACAATTACAGATATAGATTTGCAATCTTAAAGAAGTTGCACTAGAGCAAAAACTCAATTTTAGATTTCCTCATTTGCATTGCAGTAATTTTCTTATTTTGTAATTTTTACCCACGAATTTTTAGTTCAATATCTTTACCGTGGCAATCAATGAAGACCATACTTTTGATACCATGAATGATTCTTGATAATTAGGTACTACTTATATTAAATGAAAAATGATTTATTTAATCGGACTAAACATATATCACTAGTATATCACTAATATCAGCAAACCAGATAGCTAGCTTTATTATCGGACATCACGAATGTTGTATGGATGAGAGAGACAACAGCCGGAACCTTACTGTATATATGTAGAATGTTTAGAAAGTGTCGTTCCTATATACCTTTTTAATTTCGGCGAAAAAGATCTTGATCTTTTTTACTTATAAAGTTTTAAAATCTTTAAGAGATTGTCAGATGTTTCCTCTTAAAATATAAAAGTAACTTAGATGTGTAAACTGCAACCTATACGCGATAGTAATGACAAGGTGTACCTAACTTTTTTTGGTTACTCCAACGTTTCGATCGCATCAGTCGTTGACTTGACGTTGACTTTTAGTCAATTTTTAGCGTTAAAATAAGATTTTAGAACATAAACAATACAATACAATAGAAAATAAACTTCTCTTAAATAAAACTAGTCAAATTTCTAACCGATGTAAAGATCCACTGCATAAATTTGAAACAAGCACTGAGTACGCAGTCTATCTCTGATCTAAATTACATAACTGCCTACAAATACAATAAAATAATAACCTAGTAATAACATTTAAAAAGTATGCTTACCAAAGACGTGTTTACTGACTACCTAACTGTAGACTATGTGTGAAATCTTCCAATAGCTGTTATTAAGTTAGACATGGCTCCCGGAACGTCTTGTCTTGAAGTCCCGGGAATTGTGGTAAATTTATTGGTCTCGGGTCCCAAGACTTAATCGAAGCTCGAAACTCAAACGATGTTAAAGTTGTATTGCTGATCCATATGATTAGTTCCAGACTATTGAGTTTTACAATTAAAACTTTTCACTGTGAAATATGTATTGGATTTGTGATAACATGCCTGAGTTTTTTTAGTTAATTTTTTCTTGATATATACCCCACTATAAATTAACTCGATTTTCATTATATTCAAGACCTTGTCTTGAATTTCTGGGATCCTAAGACATGAGAAAACTTATCTACACGTTAACACCTTCACTGGTACCTATAAAATAAATATATATATTACCACTATAGTACTAGTACTTACTGTACATTACTAGTAAATCGACTACCTAATTCTTAAATAAGATATTCGCAGTTTTTTAGTCATGATATAAAAGTTTTTACCATCTAGATAAAAAGTACAATGAAAGTACAATTTGAGGGTCACATACGATTGCGATGAAGAGTGAACGATGGCACGATAAAACTCATGCATTAAACAGATTGAGAGAACTAAATGAATATTGAACATTTGCTGCTCATGCAAGTCCTTGAGAAAATATTCCGGTCTGTTGGCTTATTGCTTTACGTAGTGCGTATTTATTTAGTCAGTTGCGCAGGAGTTCAAGCGAGAAGGAAATCCCGCTCATTATTATTAGCCAATTAATCAGTTTCAATTGAAGACTTTGATGCCATCGATTGTGCAAATGCCATTAAAACTTCTAAGTTTATTGGTTGTCAATCAATACATCCAAACAAATAAAAAAATAGTTATGTTTCTTACGTCATGCATGATTTCATCTAATTGTTTACATAGAACCTTCACTAAAAATAAAAAAAACATGTCTGTTTTCGCCGGCTAGTTTCAACAACAAATGGACTGATACCTCTATATCCTGGCAGATAGCTGCTCTGATGCTCGGTCACTCGAACTTGTTAAAAGAATTGATTGTATTTTTATGTCTTGCCCCAATCAAGTTCATGTTGATAAAGTTAACCTATTGGCATTGAAATAAGTATGTAATTTCAATCGATTTCGTAATTGTATAATGGAACAAATGAATATATTCATATTAAGATTACATATTATTATGTACATGCGCAGTTATAATAATATTATTTGTTCTTTTGTTATAGGTGCACAAGGTAAAAAGGTTCAAATCAAGATGCCGTCGCTTCTAGAAGCTCTGGAGCGCAAATACGGCGCGAAGGGTGAAGTAAACCCTCCCATTGATGACATGCCGGTGGCCATATTCGTTCCTAAACGTTCCCCGAGACTCAGCGTGCCTACCCTATTGGTGCTCAATGACTGCGACATCGACTGTGCAGGTGACGCCTGTGCCCTCGCCGATAAATGCGCAGATGTTGTCGAACTCGACCTAGCTAATAATAAACTAACGGAATGGGAACATGTAAGTAATATTCATCCTTTGCCAACCGTAGACCACAGATTTCTTTTAATGATGCTTATGACAAACACGCCTGGCGCAATAAGCGCAACGCTCCCACAGTTATGACAAGCTGCAACAATTATTGGTTACAGAAAACGGCTGTTACCAAGCCGTTACCAAGTTGTTACGTGTTGTCCCCTTAATAACAAACTTTGTTATTGCAGCAGCTGGTTTACAAAGGTTTGATTTTAGGTTTTCGCAATACTGGAGCAGACGCCGAGAGTAAGGTTTTTAAACTTAAGCTTCAATCGCTTATCAGCCCAAATTCAAGCAGCACAAGCATTACAACCACGATGGGACAGTCTGAGCCATCTTATTCTGAATTCTACTTATGTCAGATGGCCAAGTGTCCATGACTTACTCAAAGCTCTACCAGCTCTAGAGGAGTTGCATTTGAGCCTTAACGAGTACACTTACGTTGACCTAACTGGGCAAGAGATCGACAAGAATGACCAGTGTGGTTCGTGTTCTCGGCTGAATGTCGACGTGACTGAACCTGTACATGAGCAGCTAAAGAAACTTCATTTCTCCGGCAACCATGTCAGCAGTTGGCGAGAGATCTCTAAACTTGGCTACGCCTTCCCGAATTTGGAAACGCTATTGGTCAATGACTGTCCTATAACTACTTTGGAGCCAGATCCGTGTGAAAAATGTGGCGATAATAATGGAAATAAAAAGAGCCACGATGCCTTTCCGTGAGTATACGTATAAACTATATAGTTTATGATGATAAAAATAATAGAAGATCAGAATAATAAATCATAGAAGCGGATATCAATAGGTCAATTATCTATTGCCATTGACCTGTTGATCTTCGAAATATAATGTACAGATTGCTCAACCAATATCGTCTTATTGAAATTGACCGTCATTTGCAGACACCTGCGGTTCCTGAATCTGAACAATACGGGCTTAGCGACGTGGGATGAAGTGGATCGACTGGCACAGTTCCCCGCGCTTAAGAGCTTGCGAGTGCAGGTGAGCATATTTCATTGCGTATTCACAGCAGGTAGTCTAAAATGGTTGCAAATACTGACCTCGCCAATGATGGATTAAACACATGGCCCGGAAATGTAAACAGAATTCTAAACACAATTTACAACTGGAATTCGTTAGAATAGATAATAGGTACGTGAGTAGGATCAATGTTGTTTCGAAAGACACTGCAACAGGTGCTAGCGAAGATAACTGTAAACTTCATTCACTTTAATGTAAAATCTGAAGCTGTCGTGCACTTGGCATCGGGCAATCTTGCGTCAGCCAACATTATTGCCGGCGCCTAGCCTAGCCCAACAACGCTATACAGATCTAAATGCGATATGGGACGTTGGCAGTGTTACGTTGCTAAGATGTGTAGGTTTAAATTATCCATGTGACGCCCCTCGGGAGCACGGGAGACTAGCGTTATGTGGGTGAAGGTCTTCCAGATATAGTGCGGCCTATATGACGTGAGTTGTGTAACTGCACTAATGTGCCGCCGATCTACAGACACGTATTATTTCGTGATGTCCTCAATCCGGAGTCGTTCGGTAGGTGCGGAGGGAGACTTTATAGCATAAGCCTTGGATTTGACTAATGTTTTGATGTTATTGGCGTTTTATGATTATTTTCATCGCGTCCTTACCAACATAATAAGAGCGTTTGTTAGAGTTTGTTAGATTCTTTATTACCCTTTCCCACTTTAACTACTCCACCGCATTTCATAGCTAGTAATGTATACATATAATTTAGTGTGTGTATACAGGCTTCAAATCATTTAAATGAAATATTCTTTGTCGATCATTGTTTGCTACGTCTAAAACATGCGTACTCGTAAATATTTAACAATAGTATTGCCAAGTTCAAGGTTGCGCAGAACCTAAACGTACAAGTTGTCCTAATGTTTATCTCTTTGTGAGTACAACACTACGCAGTCACGTCCTTTGTTACGTAAAGCATTACTCATGGATTAAATTATATTGTCAAACGAATATTACCCGTATTGAAATAATTTTTAAAGTCATTTTTATATGACAAACATTCGACTAAATGACTGTTTATGTGACCGTCACGCGACAAGGAATGTGAAAGTGTCTGTTTGTTTTGTTATACTATGTGATATGCTATATTGTGCGTTAAATTTGTGAATCCGTAATACGCGCTTTGTGTAATTGTATGTAAATTTCAAACATCATAACATGTTAGTGTTATAATTGTTACGATGCACAATCATTTAGAAATATGTACCTCCTTGGCCCAGATTTAATTATTTTGATCGTAGATATTGATTTAAGTTTTTTAAATGCCTGATAATACTATTGTTATATTACACAGCTATAATATCTGTTTAAAATTAACTGTTTAAACATTAAAAATAAAACTCAAGTTTTTTATTTGCTTAATTGCACTACTGTATGGGATTGTCAGATTTGAATGATTTTTAATGTGTAACATCTTTCTTCTCGTTGTCCTGCAATCCGTGGGAGCTGTTCCATGAAAAGGGACGGAAATGTGTAACAATCGGCCGGGCAAAGACACGCTATTTCATTTGACAAATAAGCCTACACAGAGCTAGATGTCAAATGTGACACACCATATGCGACTGCTCGCGATAAGACGCTCATTTTTTTAGTATATCGTATTGACGTTCTTTCTTTATTGACAATGAAACATAACGATACGACTGAACTATACTAGGTACATTGAATTCTTAATTCATAAAATAACTAGAGGTAGCGATATCCTTCCAGTAAACTTTATTTATCCAGTGTTTGGTAATAATCAACAAATTGTTAGTGATAATTATATAAAAGTATTTTCAAAACCACTTTCACAGAACTCTATAGTGCAACGTAGACGGGTTGAAAAGCACCAACCGTGTTAAAAAACAGCATATTACATTGCGTTGATTGAATCATTTCATCATAATGAATACACAATAGCTTTGTATTAAGTAAACCGACCAACTAAAATCTAACATTTCTCCTGTGACCCAGTTTTTGACGAATCCTTTCTATTATTACCTATGTATAAATGACAACCATCAACTCTTTAGATGTCATATTAAAAACCTATTACTTGGCTATTAGCAATATTACTTAATAGTAAGTAATAACCTAGATAATATCACAGCTACCAATAATCAGCAACTGATATACTTACACTGAGTCGTCGCCAGATATATTAATTCGATCGTTTATCATTAAGAAGAAAATCTCTCGAAAGTAGTGAAAAACTCTTCAATTTTGTTGTATAACACAAAAGTCTGTCAATTGGTTCTTCAAAAGCAATAGACAAAGAAAAGAAATTGGTACTAAACTGGTCTTAACTTGGTGTGAATCTAACAAATAACACTTCATCAATATACAATAAAGTATTAATTTAGATTTAGTTTATCTTCAATTATTGATGACTTATAAATACTAATAAAAAGCTGCAGTTTCACCTGCAGACGGTAAGAACAAATACTTAAGGTAAAATCCCCAAAGGGGTCCCCAATGATGCATCCAAAGAATAATAATATATTGATTGAGTAGGTCGTTCACTTTTTATTAACTCCTGAATGCAAGATGTCCTTGTTCTGACATTCAGTGTTTTTTGACCTTACATTAATTTGATTGATATCCTTGCTGAAAATTCTAAGTGGAGTTAGTGTTTTTTAATATATCCTGTTTTGTTTACTGTCATATACAGACCAAGCAAAGATAAAGCATAAATCTTTAGATTAGATTATTTAGGTTTGTTTTCAAAATTGGCAAGAAAATGAGTACAAAAAGGTATCTAATATTTTATCTTGTTGTATATTATCATTGCTATGATAAGGATGAAAATAAAATCATTCGTTTGGCAAAGTCTAATACTCTATAAAATTAGGTAGGTATATAATGTGTAATAAATGGAACTGATCGGAACGTTGTTCATAACCATAATATGTAGGTACATTTGAGGTAGTGAAGAAGCAATAACCTTTTTAAATACTTGCAAAGCTATAAAGTAGCTCTTATGTTTTAATTTAACAGATAAAATAGGCTTGAGCACTTGAGTTCGGAAACAATTGTTGTCGCATTGTTACAAAAATTCACTTCAAAACCTTCAAGTGCTTTAGACATGGCATCACACAAACTAAATTGTAAACTTTTAAGAATTAAATTTAGTCGTAATTTCAATGCCTTTTAATTTTAGACATTGTGTAATGTTTAGAAACACCGTGATTTGGCATTGCATCTTCACTGAACATGTAAGATATCGTACCTCAAAATAATCTCCATAACTGACGCTCACGATGTTAAGCGAAGTGTAAGCAAAAGTTATTTGACGTTGTGCAAATGTCTATCTCAAAGCGGAGATCTCTGTTCAATTTAAATTGGATTGTGGCCTTCTGAGTTCAATACACGATGTTGTTGGAAATATGTACACCTTTTTATTCGTAGCTCTGATATCTGTTGTAATAAAATTGCTATTTTTTGTTCTAAACTGGCATGCATGAAAACCACAAGTAGGTTAGCTACAAAGAATGATGTAATAAGAGTTTAGGTTGCTTTAATTTAAACAGATTCACTTATCTAATTCCTAGTCACCTCTAGGCTTTGTTAGCCGTGCTGATATTCTTCAATAGATGGCACGAGCAGATACTTTACGTGACCCATTAACGACTGATTTTTGCTCTAAAGAAAATGACTACTTCGTTCTAAGCATACCCATCTCTATCTATGTTGTTTGGACAAAAGTATACATACGAGTAATATTCGCCACAGTTGCGTAATGACTTTTCGACATAATAGCTTTATGACGTTTGTGATAGCACAAGTCGCATATTGAAGTTTTGTGCTAAAATAAATTTGAATAAAGAAGCGACTTGATACTAGACAAGTTATTTATAGCTTCTTTCGCTGACATAGCTTCAGAACTCGTTCAAAAAGATATTCAATTGACGACTATCAGATAATTTCGATAACGGAGTTGAATCTCATGAGGTATCTCATTATTAAATTTAGAAACTACTTTGTAAAAAATATGATACCTAAACCCAAAAACAAAGTCTGAAATGTTTATATTTTATTATCATATGAGTTTTATTACCTTTCAATTTTTCTGCTGTTAAGTTGTGATCTTAAATGGGTAATACTTTTCACGTGTGTACAATAAAGCAATGATTCATATGTCGACAACCGTTAAAACGAGTCTTTCATATCTTAAACCCACGCCTTTTGCGCGTCTCCTTACTGCTTCTTTTATTTTAACTGGTTAATACGTTTTAACATTTGCTTTAATGCAATACCCTAAGTGAGTGTATACCTTACTTGTGACGGTTTTAATGAGTTTGATCTGAATTGAAAATTTTATTGGTGTATCTGTGGTTTCGTTGTTTCATGATTTGTTTTTTCCGTTTCATAAGACTGGAAGGTACCTTTTCAATATCTGTTAGTCTAATTTAATATGATTCCTGCCTTATGTTCGTCTTTTTACTGTAGGTATCACATGTAAGTCCTTATTAATCATTCGAAGTAATGATTTCCTTGCAACATAGTGACTACAAGATGTATAGTTTCGAGAGTTTCAGTAGAGTGTATATAGGTCATGGATTGACCCAAAAACTCTCGTGCAATAATATTATTATGCCTCGAACTGTTGGCCTGTGCGTTAAGTATGTTATTATTTCTATAAAGAATTTGATTAGAAAACAGAAAACAACGCTTTTGAAGAACATTGAATACTCTTAAAGAACGAGTTATATTACCATTCATAAATTATGGCCATACTATCGATTATATTACGTAAACCCGTTAGTCCATACCTATTTATAGATAGATTGTACTAAGGTGTTGGCTGTTGAAGTTATGAATACTCGTATATCAACCCTGTGTTTTCCCTAGGGTGATATAAAGTGAAATGCTTTGAGGGTTCCCAGTTGCTATATATGTATCTATATATCACTAGCTGATCTGCGCAATTTCGTCTGCTTCGCTCAAAAGGAATAAATTTTCCTATTAGTCTTGGCA